CAGTGTATGAGCCTGAATCCTAGCCCATTTTCTGGCTTCCATGCCGGCCCCATATAAAAAAACACCGTCTTTGGCCGCCGCTCCAGGATTATAAGCTGTACCATAAACGAGCTTACTGTATATGGCAGTAGACTAGGCGATTAAATTTACGGAAGCTTAAATAAAAATCACGTCGTCCGTAAGCGGTTCAAACGCAGTTACTTAGGGTATAGGCTATACCGACCTCTGCAGATTATTATCGTGAGTTTGAATCCCACTGAGTCAGATGGAAACCCACTAGATAAGGCATAACAAAGGTCAAGGTAAAAAAAAGTTCCACCAAAACAAATTTTCCGTAGACACATAATGGTCTACTTATTTAGTTCTAGTAAGTTTGTTTTGCTTTATAATTTCGTATAATCCTGGATTGCGGTGCTTCTAATGCATTATGCTTCTGCGGCCTTTCTTGTGTACGTATTCAGAATTTAACCCTCCATCGCACTTCCTAGAAATTGATTTTCCGCTTAACATACTACGATATCGGTCCTTGACTTTTGATTAACTTTATTGCCCTTCCACACAGACATCTTTAGCGACATTTGGTTGTGTTTTAGCTTATTGTAGTAAAAAAAACATCTGTTTATATTTGGTTAGTCCGCTCGGCTTCCTTTTTCAATGTACTTTATTCGCGGGTATTATTTGCTACTGGTTGCTATTGGTTGTACTTCCCATTGGCTCCTAGTTTGCTCCTAATTCTATCGCGTTGGTTGCAGTTGAACTGCTTATATTTGCTTTTTGTTTATGTTGCAAGTATCGCGTTTTTTGTCGTTGCTATACGTTGTGTTGTTTAAATATTTGTGCATATTATGTACTACTTTTATACATATCACCACCGAACTTCTATTTTACAATTCTGGGATTTATTTGTTTATTTATTTACGTATGCTTATGAGGGAAGACATCTGAATGCACTCACCCCGGTTCCTCAGAATTTTTCAACACAACGTTCCTAACGGCAAAGCAGAGTTCAGCAAGCAGCGGCAAGAGGAACAGAAAGAGATACAAGTCCCGTAGCCTTTTTGTTATAAAGATCGCTACGATAATCATTGCAAGTGTGATTGCGACATTTACGACTCGCACCGCGATGGCTTGTCCCATAGTGCGCTGGGTGGAGGACGTCGTCGCAATCCATGTTGCCCTACTCGGCTCGTCGTTGGAGTTGTTAACATAGTAGTCAATCTCGTGGCTGAGGGTGCGTTTAGCCGCCATAATTGGGGAATTGGGCGCCTGGTAGAGGAAGAAATATTATGCCGTTTGTACAGACCAAGTCAATCTCCGCTTGCAGGGGCGTTGGCAAAGGGAGTGGGGGTCAGAGAGAGAGTAAAATATTGGGCTGGAAATATAAGTACAATTGGTTTTAAAACTGCAGGCATCTGTTGGGTATGACACAGTACTAACAAGATATATGTAAAACGAATTGAACCACCTGGATAGAAAAGTGTTGCAATAAAGCTGTGTACGAAATGTATGTGTCCACAATTACCTTAAACTCTCTTCCGGTTATAGAGAGAGTCCCAGAAGTAACTGACCCTTTTGATTTGCCAATAAAACGAAAACTATCAAAGCTAGGATATTAAACCTTGTTTTATTCGAAAGAAAAACCTTTTTATGCTTTATTAGAACTAGTTTTTGAATATAATGTCTTTTAAATGATGTCCATGGTTGTTTTGACAACTTAG